AGTTCCATTAGCAAACTCAAAGTTTGCTAACAATTGCAAAACTTACAATAGCTCACGGCACTTTCTAACAGCCAGCTTCCAAAACACTCAGATAGATCAGCCCAACATCTAACAAACAGAGAGCTAACAGTCATTCTGGCTCCCTCTTATGGCCGATTGAGGAAAACAGCAACCAATCACATTTTACAGTATGATTTAAAGAAACAGGTATAGCATTGTTACATGATTTATATATTGCCAATCCAACCGTTAGATTATATTCCTAACACATACCACCAAACTACCTGTTCAGTCTGAAAAACAGTAGGATGTATTATATTATATTATATTGTATACTGTAGTCATCCATTAAAAAATAGGATAGACCACATCCGAGGGATGCTCATTAATGTGACCACTCTAATTTTGTCCTTAGTTCGGCAATCAGCAAGCACTGGGAAGCAGAACTTGCTACGCTAAAGGGCAACAATGCCAAGCTGACAGCAGCTCTCCTTGAGTCCACTGCCAACGTGAAACAATGGAAACAGCAGCTTGCTGCGTATCAAGAGGAAGCAGAACGTCTACATAAACGAGTGAGTTGACACCACTTGAATAGTAAAACTGTGATAAGCTATGCCTTGAGGAAAGGTGTGGCTAAAATGTTATTATAGACAGTTATCCATTCCTGTAACAATTAATAACATCCATCCATATGATGTTTTATTTGCCCTTCTTGAAATTAAAGACTGAGGAAAGTTCAAGTTCATCCAGGTGTTCTGTTTCCATAATGATCCCCATTATTGAAATAAATGCTTGAGTAATATAATTATTATGTACTAATTATCCCAGCATTTTAATATTATTAAAATAGTATTTAATATTAATATTATTATGAGAAGCACAGTAGGTACAGTAAATACATGCCTAACTAATAGTTAATCATTTTGCAGGGCAACTATAATGTTGTGTTAGTTGCCCTACAACATGATTAACTGATGACTGGACAAACAAGCCGGGCAGCATAAAGCGTGCCTTCCAAACACTCTTTAGTTACAGAGCCAAGCTATGCCTGCTGATGATTGTCTGTGAATGGGTAATCAGTCATACACTCATGAAATTATGGCATTGGAAGATCCATAAGATTAATTTGTTCCAAGTTCTTGCAGTTGTTTGAAAAGCCAAATAAATGTTCCTTAGGAGGTGGCAATGTTGCCTCTTCTTAAAAGTCTCCAAAATCACAACCTCTGTACGTAAACTGTTCCACTACTATATAGAGTCTATATAAACAGTATTATAGACAATACTGTCAGAGAAAGACTCCTTATAATTAAACAAAATCAAGATAGCTGCAACTTTTGGCTATGGCATCCAGCCCTGGCTTCTGTAGTAATGGAAAATCTTCCCCTTGCTTCACTTTTATGTTTCTGAAGATGGATATCATGCCTTCCTTGAATCTTCTTTCTCCAGACTGAATCTTCCAAGTTTCTTCAGCCTCTCTTCATAGGGCATGTCCACAAGTACCTGCATCCTCTTTGTTGCCCTGGCTCTGTTTCAATTTTTCAGCATCTTTCTGGAAATGGATTTACTGTGCCTCTACATGCAGCTTTGGAAAAGAATACCTGGTCCAGGAATTCATTTCCCAGTAGATGTTTGTATCTCATAGAATAACATCTAATTAAGATGAATTCTAATAGGACACAAGGGCTATGTGGTACCTCCTGATGACCAATGAAATTTTTAAAAAGTTCAGTCAAAGCCACCAAACTTTTGTCTGATCCTGCTTTAATTAAACACTGAATTCATGAAAAATAGGATATCTTGGATCAAGTCCTGAAGGTTCTAATCCCCCCCCCTCAATTCCAATGCAGTCCTAGGCTGCATCAGTAGATCACATCAAGTGTTAGTACCATTTTATATTGCCTTGATAAGGGCACCTTTGGAATACTGTGGCCAGTTTTGGTCACCACAATACAAAAAAAGATATTAAGGCTCTAGAAATAGTGCAGAAAAGAGCAAGAATGTTAATTAAGGGACTGCAGGCTAAACCATACAATGAATGTTTGTAGGAACTGGCAATGTCTAGTCTATCATAGAGAAAGACCAGGGGTGGCAAGATAGCAGTCTTCCAAAATTTGAGGAACTGTCACAGAGATGAGGTAGTTAATCCATGCACCAGAGGGCAAAACGAGAAGTAACTGATGGAAGCTAAACAAAGTTAGATGCAACCTACAATTAAGAAGAAATTTCCTGTCAGTGAGAACAATTTATCAGTGGATGAGGTGGATTGCTGCTGGTTTTACTACCGATTTGCGAGCGTGCACATGCTGTTCAATGTAAATTGTTCTTTGCGTATGCGCAGAACAATTTACAGTGAACTGCGCACGCGCAGTCACTAAAAACCAAAATGGCAGCAGCCCAGCGGTGGCATGGGAACCAGTTTGGGGGTGTGGCAGGCCTGGGTCACTGCCGGTTCTGCGACCCAGGCCTGAATTCCACTACCGGTTCAGCCGAATCAGGCCGAACCAGGAGCAATCCACCTCTGCTTTGAACGGTACTAAAAGAACTGTTGTAAGTCAAGGGCTACCTGCATAGGTTCTCCTACTTGAACAGAACACCTCCAAGGTCCCTTCCACCTCCTGTTATTCTGTATTCTGTGTGCTGTATCCTTTTTGCTGGAGTGAAATTAACTCTTTTTTTGCCATTTTCCCCACAAACTCCACATAGTAGCAACTACTTTGCTCTCCAAAATTACTGTTTTCTATCCTACAGTTAAAAGGTTCCACCACAAATCCGCGAAGCCCTTATCCGCGGAGACATAAGCGCGAAGAGTAATTCGCACCGTTCGAAGCGCTAAGGAAAAACGCAACCCTCCCGCGATAACATAATCGCGGAGGGCAAATCCGCGCATTCCCAAGCCCTCAGTTCCCTA